TATGCAATCTTTCGCGTTTGATCTTTGTGTACCACTTTGTCAACTCTCAACTCTTAACATCGAAATACTTTCAGTTGGAATCCAAACTTTAAATTCTAATTATTTCTTTACCTTGGAATTTATTTGATTGTTTTTTTTGTTTCTCTAGAGAAGAAAAAAATTAATGACGGGCGGAAATTTCATCAGAATGTTTGTAAATTTGACCGAAAACAATCTGTTGGCGTATTTACATCGCAATAATTGGGCACGCTTCGCGAGGCCATCCGCCTATCTCATGCTGGCGCATAGTTTACGACATTTTTACCGTTTTATAATGCGCGAGGAAGACGCGCCGCGCGATATGAAAATAGTTTGGAACAATGCCATTATTCGCAGCGGCCGCGCGCGCTTTAAACAAACGAAAAAGTCATAAAAGCAAAGTTTTAACTTTTATCACAATTCAAAACCGACCCTCCTTGAGATGATAATAAATTACCAAGCCGAAGGTACGCGACGAAATGTTCCAAAACAAATTAAATTTTTAACACAAAAGTCTAACATGGTTTCTCGCTTAAATCCGGCTTAAAATTAAGTCATTTCAAGAGAATATCGAGGCGATATTTACTTGGAATGCGTCTTAATTTAGTCCCGCTAACAATAGACAACGATTTTTTCAAACGTCGCGAGTGTTTTCCATTGTTCACTGCAGCTCTACATTAATCCACGACAAAACTCGCACCGAAATAGTTTTACTCGTAAATAACATATGTTGGAACTTAAATTTTGACAATAATTTATTGTTATGCGCCCTGAAATACCTACATTTAATTTAATATATGATTTGTTTTATTTTCGCGGTTATGATCTGTTAAGTTGGTAAATGTAATTCATGGAATTACGTGGTGAAAAATTACGCGCGCAGCCGAAATATGTTTGGCGTACCCACGCTTATGCGCACCGCGTCGTCGGTTTGGTAATTTATTAGGTGCGTACGATATGTCGGACATTTCCGAAATATCGGTCATTGGTGCTGCGGTGCGGCTGGTCGCCGGCCAGAGCGCGTCTGCCGTGCGGTATTGTAGTGACGTATAAGGAAATTTGGGCGGATGCCAGTCGGTGGTCCTGCATGTGGTTTACATAAACGTGCGAGGACTAGTAATGCGATTAACATAGAATAAATTCAATAGATGTGAGAAATTATTTGATCCTGAATAAATACGATGGAAATAAGTGAAAAGAGGAAAATGTGAATTTACTCACTTGTGCTGCGTGTGAAAAATATGATGATGTTTGGGTCTTCGGGGTTATCAAATGGAAGGGAGGCGCGGGAATTGGGATCCTTCTTGGCGGCGCTCATATTTTATAACAATAACGTTGCGACGACAGGAAATTCGATGAAAATGCTAATGTCAGCGATTTGTTGGTAATTGAAACGCGTCGGCGCCCACTTTTCGTCGCTTTTCCAAATTTGTGAAGTGAACAAATTGGAAGAGCTACGTGGAAGGAGTTAAGCATGCGATTTAATAGCTTTTAAGTACAAAATATTATTTTTTCTACTTTTACCTTTAAAGTGCTACTTTTTCTACGGTTTAGAGACACAAAAAGTGGTACTTTACTCACGCCCGTGACTAAAGTACTTTTCTCACGGGTTTAGTCACGCTCGTGAGTAAAGTACTTTTCTCACGAACGTGACTAAAGTACTTTTCTCACGGTTTTAGTCACGCTCGTGAGTAAAGTACTTTTCTCACGGGTTTTAGTCACGCCCGTGACTAAAGTACTTTTCTCACGGGTTTTAGTCACGGGGTGGAACTTGGAGATCTAAAATTCCCGTTTATCCACTTGATTCTGAAAATACTCATATTGAAATTATGATTTTCTTGGTAGAAAATTCTTTTATGTCTTTTACTACCGCAGAACACCTTGCTAGTTTTTCTTCCTCTTTGGTTAAAGTTGAAGTTAAAGCCTTTGCGGTTGTGAGGTTTGTTCGAGTTGGCAAGCAGGTATTGATTTTCAACGCCAACGGCAACTCGGTCGGTCGGTCGCTTGTAAGTACTGCGAACCGACGGGACGTCGACTTGTTGGTTGGCCTGGCACAAAGAGTCCATCCGAATCCTGCGCCCACAATCCGCCCGCCCCGATGGTGAAACGGTGAAATTCTATTTTCGCAGCGCGATGCAATGCAATGTCAATGCAATTCGCTAAACATTTTGTGTTTTCACAACAAACAGACAGCATGCGCGGTTTGCACGTGAACGTAATGTGAATCGATGTGGGGTGAAAGTTTCCAGTAAAACTTGAAAGGCCAAGAATAAAAACAAGTTTGAAGATTTTGAAGGTATTGTTGGCAAGCAATATTTGCTGGGAATGACAGTTGGATTTTAGAAACTGTCGCGGAAAGTAAAAAATACAAAAAAAATAATTTTTTTTTAAGTTTTGTGTTCAAATGATGAAGTTGTTGAATAATACAAGTGCTAATGAAAAAATCAATAGGCCAACTGTAAGTAATTGCTAATTTCATGCTCAATTTCCATGGATTAAATCGTTTTATCGTGCTTATCACAACACATACTAACACGATAAAAAAATACAACTTAAAATACATTTTAATATTAAACTTGTTGGAAATTTATGTGTATAATGAGTATTTAATATGTATTTTAATTAATCATTCTCTGACACGTTCAAAAATGTTTTAAAACAAATTTAAATTAAATTAATATCACTTTCGTAGCAAAAAGAAAATGATTTATCAAATTAAATTGTAGTCGGATATCATTCCATTTTAATTTCTTGTAATTTAAATGTCAATCTGCGGAAAGTAATACCCGAATAATATCTAAATAAAGCATCAATCGCATGTCGCCACGCACCACGCGACGCTGACGCACATCAAATGCGAATCAAGTCGCGAGGAAAAAATGAAAAAATGAAGCAGAGAGAGGAAAAATATGGGAAAAACTCGCAAAGTTTGCCGTACATGTCACGCTCTACTTGAGCTGGTTAAACGAACCGTGCGGCGGACGAAATGGATGCAAAGAGCAAAGCGACCCTACTGAAGAACTCTATTTGTGTTTGCAAAGCGAATTTCTTCGAAAGTGTATCGGGAATATCTTGCAAAACTTAATAAAACAACTAATATCAATTTTTAAAATTTTTATTATTTTTAACCCGTATAAAGTAAGTCACCCCATGGCTAAAGTATATTATTAAAATTATTAATAATTTTTTGTCTCACAGGCGCAGGCGTAAGCTCCAACCCGTGACTAAAGTACTTTAGTCACCCCATGACTAAAACCCGTGACTAAAGTATATTATTAACTTTTTGCAGGAAAAACTGACGCTTTAAAAGTTGAAATAGAAAAAAAATATTTCCACGAAAAATAATTTTTAAGCTTTCATAAACGTTTCATAAACAGTTTGCGTAATTATATAATATCATACAGTAAATGTTGTCGCTTAACTTTTAAATCTTTCTAGTCGTTTGCATCCATGCTGTCGCTTTCACGCGTGCACGAAACGCTTTGATATTTAGCTCGCCTGTCGCGTTTGTAAATCGACTTCGATTAATCACGCCGACGAACGTATTTATGTAATTTGTTTGATTTTCCTTCACTTGATCTGTTCGCGACGTCGATTTTCTTTCTTTACAGCCCAGCTCCATATTTATAGAAATTCACAAATCAAACAAAATCATACCTCGTATGTAGTACAGGTAAATAAAATTAAAGATCACACGAGTCGATAATGAGCGAAATAATAAATTACCCGATGATAAATTTATTGTTTTCCATACATTTTAAGTACTAGTAATAGTAGTGAAAATGGAATAGCAAGGAATTAGCGCCGGGATGATTTGTGTTTATGAGTATTTAATGCCAGTTGACCGCCGGTCAGAAAGTCACAAGTCACACGAGAGTTCATGCATCGTTATCGCGCTGGGGAGCTGGTGGTAACCAATAATAATCACACCTAGTCACCCCCAGAGTCGGGAAGAGAACACTACATTAGCGACGTCACTAGCCCACACCGCACACAACATGTCGGAAGCAGGATATGCTGCGGAGGTGGGTGTGAGGTTGGTGGTAACATGAACGTCGATAGTAACTTTACAGCCGGCAGGATCACGCAGGAAGAGAGATAATCATGTGGCGTGCGAAACGGAACGCGGAACGCCCAAAGTATCGGCAATTATCATTAACAACCGCTGCCATAACAACAAATTAACCGTTGATTAATTAATCCCACATGGCCGGCACAACGGGAGCTACTGGGGAAGACAATGAAATATATTATTGGTTTAGGCTTGTCACACATCCAGTTAAGTTGAGTTTAGTGAAAAATTGAAATTATTCATGCGGGAGATGATGCCACATTTGAATTCTGCCACATTAAGCATTTTTCCTGCGAATGATTCGAATTTTTACACTTCTAAGCAGTTTTTCGCGATGCGCGCACGCGGAAAAGCTGGATTACGTGTGTGTGGTGGAATTTTCACTCTTGTGAGCGCATTCGTGCTCACTATTCATGACGTTTCATTACGTTACGTGCGCGTTTTTCCACCTCGCACGAGAGTTGATATAAAAATTGTTAATTTTTGACATAAATCTTTTTCCGAGGATGACACGAATTATTTAAGCCACATTTATACTTTTTATTAAATTTTTTAAGTTGTTATCAAAACGGAAGTTTTCCCTGTTAGTAAATAAGAATAAAAGCCGGATGTTGAAAGCGGAAAGAAGAAAATCAAAAGCAAAGTGAAAAATATTTTATCCCTTTATCGCAAATCACTTGCTTTAATGAACGTTAGTTAAGCGCACTGAAACGCTGGAAATAAGGGCGAGATGCGAGCCGGAGAGGAAGCAAAGTGATTAAAAAGAGTGCGGGCACCAGGTATTAATTAAAAACGAGATCGAACGGTTTTACACTAACGAAACGTCGTTTTCACCCTGTGCGAACGCGCTTTTCTTTTCGTTTTTATTTTTTATCTTGCTGAAGTCTTAACAAGTGAAATTTATTAGAACTGGGTGATATATTGATTTATTTGCGCATTCTTCCTGCCCTTTTTATATTTTTAATGATACCGCTTGCTATACTCGTATATTTATAATTTTATCGGCGGCGCTGGTCGATGGTGTCAGGTGTCCAATGACTCCAACTCTGCAGGGTTTCGTATAAAGTCTTTCCGGGGCATTCCGTTGCCGTAGCTTGCCGATGGCCAATCAACTTGTAATCGTCTTTTATTTCACCTGTCACTACACCGTAGTTTATGAGCTGTTTTAATGCGTTCATTGCTTTTTCATTTGGCAAATAATCTACAACAAGAGATAAACATTTTATGTTTTAGTAGCATTTTAAGAATCTAGTGTGCTAAACGGCACTTTAACTACGTTTATCGTTTTATTTCCACGTTTGGGTTTTTGTATTTAAACTTTTGTTTTTTAAAACTTTGAAATTTGTTCGCACACTACTAGAAAATACTTTAGTCACTACCCCGTGACTAAAGCCCGAGATTAAACTACTTTAGTCACGGTTTTGGCCATCCGTGATTAAAATATCACTTTTTCTAACTCAAAACCGTGAAAAAAGTGTTTTTTTAACGATGAAAGTAAAACAAATCATTTTTAACCAATTTTCTTTACCTGTAAAAGTTCCAGCTATGCAAATACCAACACTAAACTTATTGTAGGATGTAGCATGACTTCCTGTAAGGCCCCATCCACGTCCTTCGTACACATTACCATCTTGACCAATCTTTAAACAAATTTTAAAAAAATAAATCCGAAAACATAAAAATTATTTCTTCATTTTTTACCACAAAATTATACGCGATATCGTCCCATTTTCGTGTATCCATATGAAAATTCTGAAAAGACTTGACGAGTCTCTTACACTTTGCTTCCGAAAAACACGATCGGGTCGCACTATGATGGATGACCACATAAGGTGCTGGTCGTTCCGTCAAATTATGTTTGGCGATTGGTTCTCGTGCGTTCCATTCTTCTCGTAGTATAATATTCATGGCAATCGTGCCTGTAAACATCGAAAAAACGAATCAATCAATTCATCAAGGTTACGTGATATTATGTTGTAAATAACATTGATAATTACCTGTTGCATAAGCATTAGTCAAACCACAGTAAATCAACATATTACTCCACAAAAATAACAAAATACCAAAGTTGTTATTTGCCATCGTAATTTAATACTTTTAATTAATAATAAATAACTTAATATGAATTCACCTCGTTGCGCTTGAAAGTAACACACTTTACTAACGAATATCTGTAATATCGGGTTGTATTTATTGCCGATGCGTTATCGTGTGTTATTTAACACAAAAAACAGTCGTATGAGAATCCGAATGGGAATTTATACGAGTATTGCCAATTTATTGGTGATCGATGTGATTTACATTCGAGTTGTAACTCAGCATTGCCTCGAGGGAATCGCGGGAATGCCGCTGTGAATTATTTATTTATCATGTTTTGAATTTACGTCTGTTTTGATTTTAATGTTGAAGCAATGAACTGGCTAATGTGAAACACTAAGCACTACATCAAGCAATTATAGTGAAGTCGGTAAATGTTTATACGAGTGTGATGTTTTGTTATCAGTGGTATGAGCTGACTCATTATCAGTTGTAAAAAAGGTCAAGTTTATGGTTTAAAGTTAAATGGGATTTTGTGTGCCAAGGATGGAGAAAGTTTTTAGTTTTTATAAGTTTTGTAAGAATCGCAATGTTTGAGGGGCGTTTTTGGCATTGTCTAAGGGTTTTGAGATTACATTGGATACGTATATTATAAAGGGTGTTTTCAGTAATCACGTGACATTGAGAAATTTTGATTTTCTTTATTTTTATTGGAGATATGAAGGATTTTCAACCGTAAAAAATGTAGAAATTAAGAAATTTCTTAAAATAGCAATTTTTAAAGGGCATTTAAGGGTTTCTAGTTTAGGGTTAGGGTTTAAAATCGTACACATATTATACAAGGTCTTTTCAACTACCAGATAACGTATAGAAACTGCAAATTTCTTCATTATTACCGGAGATACTGGGTGTTTTTTATCTCAAGTTTTGGAAATTTAGTAAAAATAGCAATTTTTGAGAGACATTTTTGGGTACTTGTTACAAATTTAGAAGATGCAAAAAGTACTCATTTTATTAAGGACTCTTTTATCTATCACATGGCGATAAGACACTTTAAATATCTTCTATTTTAGAGGAGTTACAGGGTGTTTTTCACGACTTTTCAGTTGTATACAGTTTATTTTACAGCAACATCGGAAAACATGAACTAATCACAAATTAAAGTAATTTTTTGCTCTAAATAATTTTTTCTGATACTTCTATATATATTATTAACAAATTCAAAATTTTTCCTTGAACGTTGGAGGATAATAAAATAGCCACATCTGCAGTTTTCCACTGCAATCGAAGTGAGAACGGGCGAACACACGCAAAAAGAATGAGAAATCAAGTAAATATAAAATAAAAACACGTACACATAAATTTGATATTCATAGCGCAGACGGTAAGCGCTCGGAACGGGGTAGACATAAATATTTTTATATCCATAGCGCTCGAAAACAGACCGCGCGCAGCGAAATCCTGAAAGACAGAAGTTAACTTTAAGGGTTTTCAACTTTATATACGCACTCTTTGCGTTCGGGTTTTAGTATTTGGTTTGTCAACGTTTTATATCCGGCTATGAATATATTGATGAGTCAGTTTCAACAGCACAGCTTAATTCTTTTGATAACTTTTTATTGGCGTAATTTAAACACTCAAAGGGTACTTGAAAAATTCTTCATCTTGCTGATTTCGCTGTATAGATTCCTGCCTGGACAACTTGTAGCTTTCACGCTTCTATGTCCGACCAGTTTATAGTTGGAGCTTAATTTGCCTTCTTGTACCGCGTAGGAAATCAAGTTTGTGAGGGAATTTAGCGACGCCTGACTTGGAGATGATGCTGGAAATATTTCATAGGTTTAGTATTCGTAAATCATTAAAAAAAATATCGAATTTTTAGTAGAAACTTACTTTCAAAATTCCCAATGAAACTCACACCAATACTATAGCCATTTGCTCTTCCTGCATGGGCAGCTTTACGTCCAAAACCTTGTCCTTGGTAAATGGTACCATCTTGACTAATCTAAAACATAATCGATGATTAAAATCAAGTTTTTCTGCAGTTTTGAGGCACAAAAAGTGGTATTTTATACATAGACAGCCATGGCCGTGATTAAAGTACTTTAGTCACGGCCTTTAGTCACGGGGTGAAGCTTGCGCCTGCGTATTTGTCTACAGGGCAGCAGAAGACGTAAAAATAAAGTGAAAGTAGAAAAAATAGCGTAAGCATCACGTGGCTAAACGTTGTTAAACACTCGATTGATTAAACGCTCGTGACTAAAACTCCTTTTTAGCCTCTTGATACTTAATATACTATTAAATTATTTTTACCAAAAAATTATATCCGATATCCCCGTATTTCTTATTAATATGATCAGCTTGAATCTGCTTCAATCTCCGATAACAATCTGTCCCGGAACAAGATGGCGTCACAGTGTGATGCACGATAAGATGTGTGGGAGTTCCAGAGATGTAATTTTTGAATCTTGGTGCAGCAGCACCCCACGTACTTCTCGATACGATATCCAGAGCATCTGAAAACGTTAAAAAGCTATATTTAAATGTTAATAATAAAATCTAAAAATATAACGATTGCGCTATTAGTAAAATGGGCCGCGCTCGCGGTTCCAACGCACAACAAACGTGCACACAATAGAAAGACGTAACGAGCAACCTGAGGATGCTGCCAGGACGAGCAAACAAGCCGCGATGCACGCGCCCAACGAAGGAGCAACAAGTTTTCCCAACATGGTTTAGATAGCAGCAGGCGCTGGTGTTTCACCTCTTGATTATATAATTTATTCTGTTTGTTAAGAATTTTTTTTAAGCGTGATATGTTGACGACGGTGTTTGCTGTTTGCTGCTAAGTCGGCGACGTACTGGGCTTTTTCGATTATCCGGACGGCTTTTATATTAACAAGCAACAAAAACAGGGATTGTATTAAGTTGAAGTATTGTGCGTTTATACGGGATTCACGAGATGTTTATTTAAAAGGGGATTTACATGCCGGGTTTAATTTTTACGAATAAATTACGACTGCAGATGAAATAATTAAATTTATCGCGTCTCAAGCATATGCAAGGTCATTAAAATTTAATCTACGGTTATTGTTAATAAAGGATTATGTGTGAGTCATGTAGAAAGAGAGTGTTATTAAATTTATACAGAGTGTTACCATAAATTTACAGAGAAAACTAAAGTTTTTGTAAAGAAAAGTGGAACTTTAAACACGGCCGTGACTAAAGTACTTTAGTTATCGGCTTTAGTCACATGGAACGTTGTTAAGCTCCCGTTTAGCTACTTGATACTTAATATACTATTTTTGTTAATATGGTTTCAAAAATAGCCTAGTTACATTTCTTATCATGCGTAGAAACCAGTTTACTCCCACGTGTATTGTACGTTTTATCTTCCAGCTGCATTAATTACGTTCACACGATAATTTATGATCGAAATGCAAACGTCTGTTAACAAACACACTGATAACCCCATCAAAACAAAATTTAAAAAAATTCAAATCCAAGTTTGTGAAATAATTTATTTTAAAACTAAACTAATATTAATATTGATATTAAATTATATATAATATAATTCGATTTGTATTGTGTATCGCAATCTCTATGAAATTTCTAGAATTTCTTAAATGAATTCATCGCAAGTTTCCCAAGATATTTGCGGTGCGAATGTAATTAGCGACATGAATTGGATTACATTAACTTGGCACTGTCCACATCGTAACCTCCTAAGGAGCGTTTACCCAGTGGTCCAACCCGCGCATGTGGGTATACAGCCTGTGGCCGGGGCAGTCCGTCGGCGTGACCTGCCGGTGAGTGATCAATTTGTAATCGGCGGTGAGGTGGCCATCCTCCACACCGCACTCCAGCAGGCGTTGCAGTGCGCCGAGAGCTGCTTCATTTGGCAGATAAGCTATAAAATAAATGATTAACCCACTTTGATTGCTTGATTTCTTGTTGGAGACTTACACGTGTAATCGCCAATGAAACAAATGCCCATGCTGCGGGAGTTCAGGCGGTCTTCGTGGGTGCCTTGCTTGCCCCAGCCGACACCTTCGTAAATGTTACCGTCTTCACCGATCTAGAATTAAATTAGGATAAGAAATAGAAATAGAAGAGGGAAAAATTGACTTACAAGGAAATTGTATCCGATATCTCTGTATCTCTTACGATTCATGTGGATTTTTTGTATGGATCGTACTAACGCAGCACAATTCGCTGGTGAATTACACGTGGCTGTTGAGGAATGATGTAGGAGAACATGAGTTGCTGGATATTGCTCTAAAGATTTCGATAGGCCTTCTCTTGCGTTCCAATCGTTACGTGTTATTATATTTGGACATGTTGATACTAAACACAAAAATTAAAATATTTCTATCCTTAAATTGCTTTTTCTACGATTTTGAGACACAAAAAGTGACACTTTAATCACGGTCGTGACTAAAGCACTTTAGTCACGGGGTGCAAAAACCCAACGTTGTAAATAGGGTGGAAGTAAAAAAATCAGCGTGGCTATCACGTTATTAAACACTCGATTGATTAAACACTTGCTTTATTCATTTTAATCAATCTCGTGACTAAAACTCCCGTTTAGCCACTTGATACTTAATATACAAAAATATTTTATTAAATTTTAATAAAACTTACATGCTCCACAAATAATTGGGAATAGAAACAAGACGTGGACGTAAACTTTCTCATTCTGTTCCATTTTTACAATTACTTTACTTTTATTGGAACTAGTAATAGATGTTGACTGTTTGTAGGTTGTCAATGAAGTGAAGATGAAGATAAAGAGCAGTGAATTTATTTATAACTGTAATTTAGTCAATTTCGCTGATTGCGTTGATGGCAACAAAAATATCGACTCGTGTCCACAAGCGTAAATATTTCACGGACAAACACGGGCTATTGATAAACTAGATAAACACTGTTTACTCGAAATTTACCAATCTATAAAATGCGAATGTAATCGAATATTATGCCATTACGCTCTACACATGTATTGATTGCGTTTTATTTATCAAGTTTATTAATAATTATCGTCTACGTCGCTTCGAAATTATGAGTGAAATATCTTGTTATTGTGCAATGTTTATTTATCTCAATATGATGATTTATGTTTGTATTTATTTGCGTTTGACAAAATATGTTTTTCTACTTCTATTTTTAAAGCGCCGGTTTTCACGGTTTTGAGACGCAAAAAGTGTTTTTTTCAACACGGACGGGTTAGGTCGTGACTAAAGTCGTGACTAAAGTACAAAACTTCTATTTAGACACTTGATACTTAATATCTTATTTCTTAATACAGGATTAAACAGATTCTTCAAGTATTAAAGCAAAAATATTTATTTTTCTTTGTTTGTTTGATATTCTCAGTGAAATAAAATATCCCTAATGATGTTTCATTGTTGCAGATTTGTGGTGGAAATGAAAAGGAGAAGAAGCTTTCCGGTGGTACGGAGAAACGGAAAGCCGACGACGGAGAGCCAAACAAAGATCTTAAGAAGGTAAGCGCAAAAAATCGTCTCAACCAACAACAAAAAAAAGCGCAAGATATCTTCTCGTTTTGAGTAATTATCATTCATCTCTTCATTATTTTCAACGTTTTCCGCGCGCGCGGTGCTTGTTTGCGTTATTGAGATGACAATGACGCTGCAGATGGAAATCTCGCGGTGTGTTCTTTTGTCCTGATGCAATTATCCTCCGACGGTAATTCGTAAGTAAATCAGGATAACCGGCTTAAGAGACCAGACCCTCTTACAAGAAAACAAAATGTTTGTGTTTACAAACAAAAAAAACATGGAAATGTTGAAATTATGATGATTAAGATGCAGCCGTGTCTGTGATGTCACAATTAGAATCTGCGGCCGGAATAAAAATAGAAACGTCGCTCAATGAGACAACATTCCCATCGCGACCTGAGACGATTGTGAGTTCCTTCCTCGGTTGTGTGCGTTCCGCTCCGAATTTCCTCCCGGCTTCACTTGGAGTTTCGGGACTCTTAATGGGCGGGCGAAAGGTCGAGACGTGCCGTGCGGTCGTCGGGCGGAAAACCTTTTTGATTACACGTAAATTAATGAAAATCCCGGACGTTTGCCGTGGATTGCGACGGCACTAAACCTAAGCAATCTTGGTTGCAGCGGTACTCTTGCGTGTGTGTGTATTGGGTTGCCTGCTTAACGTGCCCGCCATGTTAACTCCACACAGTTCACACCAATTTGAGTCGGTTAATGCGTAAAATTGTGCTCAGACGCAGCCGCAGCAAAGGCGAGTTATATTTATGCACTTCGTAAAACGAGGCTTTAGCATCTTGAGCGTCGTTTTCCGGCGCTTTGCGAGCACGTCGACAGCATTGGCAATTTCCCGATAATCTCGATCTATGGCGTTGTTTGCGTGGACACATCAGGCGCACATCCGCTGCAAGGATTCGAGGACTTAAGCTTTGGCGTCCATTAAAATCCGCACGCTTCGACGAACCCGGCTTTGCGTCTTTGTTTGCATGCAAAGCGAAAACAAAACACGTCAAACAAATAATCCTCGCATAGTTTTTTTTTTCATTTTTATAAATTTATTTTCATAGTAAATGAAACCAATTAATTTTTGCGTTGTGAACAATTTAAGCTTGTTTTTATTTTTGATTTTTACGTGAGCAATTAAGCTGATATTATTTCACGTGCGTAGAAGAATTTCACGCGCGTGATTTTCCAATATCTACGCTGCGGTTGTGTTGTTAGTTAACCCACAGCGAGAGAGCATGTTGCACGCCTAACGAAGCCAATTATTTTTAGTTTCCAAGTACCTCAAATGCGCCGCGATCCATTCGGAAGAATTAAATTACGAAAACATCCAAATCACAAAAATTACGATCATTAGAAAATTGGTTTACTTTCTTAATTCACAAACGCTCGAACTTTCGAGTGTAATTTTGATGAAAAGAACAAGTTACTCGCAATTATTAAAGTCAACAATGCAAGAAATACGAGTATATTGATTTATTAGTCAGTTTGAGTTATTAAATTTTTTTATAATTAAAATTAAAAGTTTTTTGAAGAAAAAACAAACAAATTCATCGGATGTTTGCTTTTTTTTTATAAGACTTGAAAACATTCCGTTATTAATCAAACAATTACGAAAATCTGTTTTAAACTTTTTAAACATCTTCAGCTTCTTTTACGGAAGAAAAAATAGGTTATGTGTTTTACCACTAGCGCCATCTATGTTCCTAATACAACAACATACCTGAATATTTAAAATATCATGTCTGAATGTTTGAAAAAGCGAACAAAAGAAAAATCAATAGACAAGTTCTTCTTTCTTCTTCTTCGTGTGCAATCCTCCGCGTGCTATAATAGTAATCTCACATTCGCATGTAGTGTTATAGCTTCCGCATACCATGCAGCGAAGGTATTACAGAAGATGGCTGCGCGCTGGAAGGCGGCGTGGAATCACGTTCGGTTATGAATAAGATATGCGTTCAATTTCGTTCCGTTCCCTGCCGCCGTCAGCACACTCTAGTGCTCTTCAGCACCCCACCATCAAATCCACCATCTTTCTTTACCTTACACACACATGCAACACAATACTTTTTATTTATATTTGTTGATTGTTTATATTTCAAAATATTTTAAGTTTTTTATTTATTATTCTTGGGTCAGTAGGACGCGTGGAGTTGAGTTGTTGATTTATTTCCCATTTCCGCCGAGCGGAGGAAAATAGAAAAATATTTTCTTTACATAAACTCTGTCGGCGAAGGCCCTCTGGGGCTGTGTGTGCAACGTCAGGGCGTATAACTGATGAGGTCGCATCACTTTACGTCCACTTTATCTGTAAACGCAAACAGGACTTGTAACATAACCTCTCATGATTGAATTCTCTCGTATTACTTAATTCCTATGTCGTTTCATTATGCAAACATCGATTATATTATGCGATATGAAAAGTTCCATTCAATTAGTGCGAAGTTGTTATAACGACCAGGAACATTTCTAATTGCACGTTAACGCATCCTGCACATCCTGCAAGAAATGAAATCTAATTAAACAAGGTATGCTCGCTGCGTTCCACTGGCACTACATTAATGCATTTATGCATCGCCTGTATCTCTTGCCCGGGTGAAGGTAATGAATGTTATAATTAACTTTGCTTAATTTAATCCTGTCCACTTCATTGTGAGGACCATGCAGTCCTCAACCCAGTAAGTTTTCTTTGATGCACTCGACTAATCTTGAAGCATTTGAATGTTGTACAGTTTCTTCCTTTCGTGACTTGCAGTCAAGTCAACTCTGTTTAACTTTGTGTTCGTATAAATAGTAAATTCGGTGTTTATGATGCTTTTTGTTGCCTTTAAAAATATACAGGGTGAAGGGAAATCTTGGGAAATAAGCGTGGAGGGTGAGGTTTTGGAATGCGTGCAAACATTAACTAGTTTGTTTGTCTTTGCATTGGCATAAATGCTGTTGCCAGCTGCGCTCATAATGAAGTTGTGATAACGTTTGCAATAACGCCCATTTGCATACGCGCATTGCGTCAATATGCATTTCAAGTTGTATCATTTTAATACGCAATGCAGAGGATATTCTCTTTGAAATTGTATATTATGAATCAAGTGCGCTAAATGACACTTTAGGAATGTGTTTTTTCTACTTTCACATAGCATAAAACTTTGTATTTTAAATGCATAGGCTCAAGTTCCATCACGTGACTAAAGCTCGGGACTAATGTACTTTAATCATGGCCTTGCCCGTTCGTGTTTAAAGTACCACTTTTGTGTCTCATAATTTTATAATACAGCTGCGTAAAATATCTGCTAAAGTATCAAATTCCACTCCGTGACTAAAGCCCGTGACTAATGTACTTTAGTCACGGCCTGGCCGGTCCATGTATAAAAAACCGCTTTTTGTATCTCATAATTTTATAATTTAGTTGCGTAAAATATCTGCGATTAATGGAAGCATCGTTAAATTTAATAAACACTTGAAGGAAAAAAGATTTGCAGTGTGTGATGTCGAGGACGAATGAAAATGTAATAAAATAAAATAAACTCCCCTCAAAAATAAAGGATGTGAGATCCCAACGAGGAAAAAATACGAAAGGAGAGGCAATAAAACGTTTTATGATTGTGTGCGCTGCGTTTAATAATTTCTCGAGTTTCAAATGCTGGTCTTAACGACCCGCAAAGAAAACCCGCAAGATAAATTCATGACGTGAAGTGTTAACTACAATATATTTTCGTGAAATCATCTTTTCGATAGCTACTTAATTAAGATAACTTCCTGGCACATTTCGAATAATTCTGTCGATCACCACGTTGTCGAAACGAAATTAATGGCTCAATAAACCGAAAGTAACGCAATAAAATCGACAAGGCTCCGACAAGAAGGAAAGAATGGAAAGCGAAAACGGTGCCCGACACGCGTGGATTCTTTGATGAAACATCCCCGGTGACGGGCGGCGGCACGGCCGCCAGGTCACACAAACAGGACGGTTGAATAGACAAATCGGGGGCAGTAAAACACCGCCGTTGATAATAGTTTTAGTTTGTTAGGAAACGCGGTGGTTGCGTGTCGAGTGAGATTTCGCAAACGAATTTAACAAATCGAAAAAGTTTCTGATTTTCAATTTTCCGCGCAAGAAAAATTGGTTTTACTTTTATACTACGAGTACTTGAAATAGATTAAATTAAAGTTTATTAATCAGATTTATGTAAAAATGTTTAAGTAGAAAATTTATTTTTTCTACCTCCACTTTTAAAGCACTTGGTCGTGACTAAAGTATATTAATCACGGGCTTTAGTCACGGGGTGAAATTTGATACTTTAGCAGATATTTTACATATCTAAATTATAAAATTATGTGACACAAAAAGTGGTACTTTAAACCCGGACAGACAAAGTCGTGACTAAAGTACTTTACTCACTGGTTTTAGTCACAGCGTGGAATTTGATACTTTAGCAGTTATTTTACGCAACTAAATCTTAAAATTAATTAATTTTAATCTACCTATCTATCCTGTAGATTTACAGTTTATTATTTGAACCTTTAATTTATTATCTCGCTAATTTCATCAAAATTACTCCAAAGTAATCAAATTAGAACGGATAATCCGTATTTCGGTTAGAATAAACATTGTTTATCATTGAATGCGTGTGTGGAACTTGAAAGGCCTTCAATTTTAATTCGTCTTCCTCCTCAAAAGGATAATTAATTCGATACCAAACCGCTTGTCGCTGCTCCACTCTAATTAATTACATTTTTCGGCAAGTGATACACGCCATAGATGTGTAACTACGTGCTTAATCTCCCAACGTATAGAGTCCTTAAACGCTCCTCTAAAAGCACGCGCACACAAAGCACCACAGCACAGCCTCCAGCCTACATAATCTTCATCTCTTCATGGAAGGATGGTGGTTTGATTCGCGCCGTGCGGGTAAATACAATAATAATTACAATATACTACGTCTGCTGATCGGCGAATGATTAATTGTGGTATGCGAGGAGTGGCCTTTTAG